GGGTCATGTTTTCTTATCCATTCAGCTACCCTGTGTCTTTTGATTGAGGCATTTAGTCTATTTACATTGAGAGTTAATACTGATAAAAAGTTATTCATGTTTTTCTCTTTGTACCTGTGTTTTTCTCTTTCTCAATCTCTTTCTTCATCTTCTTAAAGCAGTTTCATTAGCATATTTTGCAGTGCTGGTGTGGTGGAGGTGTATTCTTTTAGCCTTCTTTTGTCTGGGAAACTTCTTATTTCCCCTTCTATTTTAATTGAGAACCTTGCTAGGTAGGCAGCCTTGGTTGTAGGCCCCTGCTTTTCATTACGTGTGATATTTCTTGTCGTTCCTTTCTGGTTGCAGTGTTTCTGCTGAGAAGTCAGCTCCTAGCCATATTGGGACGCCCTTGTATTTTACTTTCTCTTTCTCCCTTGTTGCCTTGATGATTCTCTCTTTGTCTTTGGTAGTTGCCATTTCAATGATGATGTGTCTTGGTGTGGACCTCTTTGAGTCCCTCTTGAGTGGGGTCCTCTGTGCCTCCTGGATCCATGATACCTTTTCTCTCCTCAAATTGGGGAAATTTTCCATCATTACTTTTTCAAAGAGGTTCTCAATCCCTTGCTCCCCTTCTCCTTCTGGTATCCCTATTATGCAGATATTATTGCATTTCAGGTTGTCCTGCATTTCCCTCAATGCCTCTTGATTCTTTTTGAGAGTTTTCTTTACATCTCCTGTTCTTTCTGGGAGTTTTTTTTCTACCTTATCCTCCATCCTACTGATTCAATCCTTGGCTTCATCTGGCCTGCTTTGGATTCCTTCTAATGTGTTCTTCAGTTCAGAAATTGTATGCTATATATCCTCTTGTGTCTTCTTGATAGTTTCTATGTCCTTTTTTAGGTTGATATAGTTTGCTGTAAGATCCTCATAGTTTCTCTGCAGTTTCTCATAGTTATCTTTGAGCTGGCTGAGCTCATTGAGATTCCTTAGAGCCAGTGTTTTGAATTCAGTATCTCATAGTTCACTTGCCTCTATTTCATTTAACACTCTCTGTGGGGATTCCTCCTTTTCCCTCATTTAGGGGGAACTTCCTTTTTTCCCATTTTTGTGAGTCTTTTTTTTTTTTACTTCTGCTTAAATTGACCCATCTCCATTTCCTAACTTTTTGGATTAAACTTCTATGTTAGTAGTTGGGTCTTTTTATTTTTTTTTTTTTGTTTACTTTTCTTCCTGGGTCTGCCTCTGATGATGTCAGTTGTTGACCCTATCTGACCCTTGGCCGTTTGTTTGAGTCCTCTAGGAATCTACTATCTGTGTTTGACTCCTGTGATTGTCAATCTGGTCAATCTGTCCTCATCTGTCAGACTTAGGCATCACAGGGCGGAGCAGTGCCTCCCGATGGTGGGACTATCGTTCCCTTATAGGCAGCTGTCACTCAGGGCAGTAGTCTCCCTTAGCCAGATGGAGATCGCAGACTGGGGAAGAGTCAGCACTGGGACTCTCCAACGCCTCTGTCTCCATTCTCTCCTTGAGGGTCTTTGGGCAGCTCTGTGACTCCTTTGGCCAGGGATCTACTATTTCTGCAGATTGTTCTGCACGCCAGCTCACTTGAGAGCACTCGCTGGCCTGGGCGGGCGCCCTCGCCGGGCCCAGGCTGGTGTACTCACCATACCTCATGTGCTTGCCTGCCACCTGGGCACATGCCCAGGCACTGCTCAGTTTAGGATCTTCTATTGCATGCTTTCCCTGCTTTTGGCTCTTTAGGGGCATGGCCTGCCCATGCATAATGGAGACTATGGAAAGGGGAAGGAGTCAGCTCCAGGACTCTCCAGTTAATCCTGTCTCCAGTCTCTCCCCAAGGGTCTCTGGGAAGCTTTGTTACCCCTTTGGTTAGGGATCCACTATTTCTGCAGATGGTGTGGTAATTGCGCACCTTCCAGTTCCCGCATCCACTTCTGCCTCTTTGGGGGTGTGGCCTGCCTGCGCAAATGTGGACTATGGAATGGGGAGGGAGTCTGCTCTAGGGATATCAGATAATCCTCCAGTTCTTTACCCAGCCCCTCCATCTCCAGTCTCTCCTCAAGGGTCTCTATGCAGCTGTGTGTCTTCTTTGGCCAGGGATCCTCTATTTCTTCCAGCCAGTCTTCACTCAGCCCCTAGCCCACACACTCACGATCTGTGTGTGGAGCACGCAAAAGGCAGGTTAATTGATTCTCTTATGCTTAGGCGAGTTGGTAGCAGCAGAGTGGGAGGTGAGTTATGACCGGGGCTCTGCTGGCCACCATCTCTGTTTTCTTCACAAAGTTTTCCTCGCCAGTGTTTCCTCCAGCACCAGCCCGCTCTCCTGCCGCCTCTACCCGGAGATCAAGAAAGGCGGCTGCCACTGCAAATTTTTGCATTGGCCCTTTAAATGTCTCTTTGCATCTCCAGCTGCCTGTCTCTGGCACAGAGCGCCCTTAAGCTTTTTGGGGTTGCGTTTTGTCTGTGCACTTTCTGGTTTCAGCTGCTGTAGTCTATGGGTCCCTCTTTATGGTTTAGACCCTATTCTTCTCAGGGAGATCCAACTGGCTGTTTCAATGTCCCTCTGGTGCTGGTGCCCATGGGCACCCAGCCCACCCTCTCAAGCCTCCACTGCACTTGTCACTTATTCAAGTATGTGAAAGTTGATTCCACTGTTGTCCACATCTCCAAGGTCCCTCTCCCTCTATCATTCCATTGTTTTCCAGGTGATTTCTCCACTATTTAGTTGGAATTCCAGTTTGGTATTGAGAGGAGGTCCGCATAACTCCCATTCACTCCTCTGCCATCTCTTCTCGAAAAGAAGGAAATCTTAACCATTTACGACAGCATGGATGGAACTTCAGATAACTATGATAAGTGAAATAAGTAGGTCAGGGAAAGACAAATATGATTTGATCTCACTTATATTTGGAATCTAATGAATGAAATAAATTGATGAACAAAATAGAAACAGAGGCATAAGTGCATGAAACAGACTAACAGATCTCAGAGGAGAGTTTCGGGGGGGACTGGATGAAAAATGGTGAAGGGATTAGCCAAAGAGCATAAATGCATAATCCATAAACATAGAAAACTGTGTGGTGATTGCCAGAGGGATGGGGCGGCAGAGGCTGAGCAGAGGTGGGCCAAGAAGGGTAAAATGGGGACATCTGTAATAGTGTAAACAATAAAAATAAGTTTTAAAAAAGAGCATTTTTAATCAAATTTTTTGAGAAGTGAAGAAGATACCCAATCAGAGGTAAAAGAATAAGTTTTAGGTAGGAGGAAAAGCAATGAACTTGGATTAACAAGAAGAAAGGAAGATAGAGTAGTATGGATCTATAATAAGGTTTTTGTTTTGTTTTGTTTTGTTTTTTTGAAGCAGGAATTGGAGGAGTTTTAGCCAGTGCCTGTAGTTCAAGCATTTCAAGTGATTGAGTGAAAGTAAAAATTAAAATAGGAAGAAGTGGATGAATTTGAGATGATGGCTGAAAAGAGTTGAAATTCATTTCAGATCTAGTAGTGCAAGCTATATTTGGAGTAATTGTGTCTGACCTGTATGTCACTTTCTTCAACAGTGCTTCACAGGTAAGCTCAAAGAGTAAATAATATTACTAATCCAGAGTTATTTTTTGTTAGTCAAGTGCAAGAAAAAAAGGATAGGTAAAGGAGATTCATAAGTTAAGAAATTCATCATGACACAGTATATAACCTCCAAGCAGAAAAGACAGACAAGTAAAAAGATTGCAAGAAGGTAGAGGAATAAATGAACTAATGTTTTGACACCAAGGTGGGGGGGTCATAGCAGTATTTAAAATAATAATTTAAAGGATGGAAATTTCTAGTTCAAAAATGAGTTGCCTGAATCAGTAAATTTTAAAGTAAAACAATTTGGTTAGTGATAAGGTCCAGAGTGTGACTGAGAGTGGGGCCAGAGGTAAAGAAGGACATAGATCTTCAGAGATGAGAAATTCAAGGGACTGGGAGGCCAAAGTTTTGGATGTGTATCACATATTGACACAACTAAGTGTATAAACAAGAGAGTGAAACAAATCCATTTAAAAATAGAATTAAAAAAAAGGTTAGTATATAAAAATAAGAAGGCACAAGGTAAGTTGGATTATCCAAATTGCAAAGAAGTACCTATTGTACAAGAAGGTAGATAGGAATAGTAAACTTCACCCCAATCCTTGTTCTCTGGATAGATAATGACCAACCTACCACTATCATACAATAACTACCAACACTCTTCCAATGTCAGCCATATCTATCCAGAAGAAAGAATGTAAGACCATGAAAGTCTACTTTGGGGTCAGAGATAAAATCATAAGAAAGTGCTAGAATACCATTCTTATCTTCACTCTTTAATTTATATCCCAAATAAATAAACATCTTTAATTTAATTTAAACACCTGGGCTTCAAGAGTGTTTAATAGGACTATACCACAAGCATATTTAAGGGAGAACTAAAATAATTCTAGGAATCATTGAAGCTACCCTGGAAATCATTCTGCTATATTAGTAGCATACAGTAAGTCTTTTCCAAAAAAGAATTAAAAGCTCCTAAGGAGAGATAGCAGTAGTTTTCAAACTGGTGGTAAAACACCTGAAAATCAAAAAGTGCTAAACAAATCATTAAAATAATATTAAATTTTAAAAATACCAATATATAATTTTATGAGTAAGCATATATATTATGCATGATTTTTTAAAATATAGGACACTTTTAAAGTTAATAATTTTTCTCTTGTCACTTGTTCTCTTATGTAAATTAAGAAAGTAATAAAATTTCTATTGTTCAATTTTATGAGAAAGAATATGCCAAACTCAGAGTACACCAGATACATGCAAGAATGTAGTGTGTGAATGACTGAGACACTTTTATTCTACCCATTTGTTCTTTTTGTATCCAAACCAGGATTATAACCAATGATTATTCAAAAAAGTTAACATATTTCAAATTGGTTTGCTAATGAGACAAAATACTATTTTAATTAACAATTTAAAAAAGTTACATTTACCTCCTCCAACTGATTGACCTGGTGCTGAAACCACTATTTTGGAAAAAATAAAAAGGAACAGAAAAGAAAGTTATTGACAAGTTAAATTTCTGAAGTAAAGTAAATGGGTACACATGTATGTACCATGTGCAGGGGTGTGTATGAGAGAAAGAGAGAGAGAATTTTCATATAGCAAATATTATTACTAACCAAACACCATTTATCATAGGGTGCAGAATAGGGATAATATACAATTGTAACATAAAAATTTTAAATATATATAGCAGCAATTTCAGGACTCCTTTTAGTTCCTCAAAACTTAGAAATATCTTACATGTATTTCTGTATTAAATTTTAGTAAACTTATACTGTAATATTTTGAACATACCTTAAAAAGAGATTCCAAAATCTGGAAAATAAAGTGTTAATTAAACATTTTTAAATAAATTTCTTCACAATATCTCTGATTAAAATATTTAATTTAGGTCTCTTGCAATTTTCAACCACAAAAATTTATAAATTATTAAAATAAAATTATAAATATATTATCCAAAATCACAATATTTTAATATTTACAGATAAGTTTTATTACATCTTACATAGACAACTTAGTTCCATAAGAACAAATTTTCCATCTTTATAGATCTATATTAAAAGAGACCCCAAAATAATTTACATATATAATTCCATGTTTTCTTAACGTAAGAAATCAAATTTAGTTCCCCTCAGAAGAGTATCATTTTTCCATATAGCAAAAAGTACAATAATAAAAACCATTATTTTACTAAACATTACCTCTTAAATACACCTTTGCTCTGTCAAAGTGTCTAATAGTCAAAACATAAAATAACATAAAATATTTTACTGCTACTTGATATTTTTAACAGAAGATGCAAAGACCTGGTATAGGAGCCTGTGAAAGAAACTAAATATACAAAAACCAATCACTCAGTTCAAAATATTAGTATTTATCACATAGAACACATAAGGTAAAAATGGTTACACTTGGCAAAAAAAAAAAAGCACTCTATCACATCTAAAGTTTTTAAGTAAATTATTAAATAAAAATATTACTACAGGCATTCAGACAGTAAAAAGGTACTTAACGGAAAAATCAGGCTAATCTAAACTTTTCCGTCTGCAACACTAACTCTAGACCAATGGTTCAAAAAGTGTAATCCCATGACCTAAACAACCAGATTTGTTAATAATGCAAATTCTCATCTCTCACTTCAGCCTACTACATCAAAAACTTTGAGTCTGGCCAGCAATGTGTGTATTAACTAGCCCTCCATTTGATTCCTTTGCATGCTAACATTTGAGAATCAAGCATATCAATATGGGTATAACTTGCATATTAAAAGAATTTTCAAATTGACTCATAAAGAAATAGATGTTATGCCATACACACACATGTGCACACATGTGTGCACACACACATACATACATACAAAAGACACATTTTAAGTGTAGTGATTCAAAAAGGTTAAAAATAAAATGATGAACAAATATTTACCATACCCTTTGCAACAGCATGGATGGAACTGGAGAGTATTATGCTAAGTGAAATAAGCCAGTCAGTGAAAGACAAATATTATATGATCTCACCTATAAGTGGAACCTAATCAACAATACAAACAAGTGAGTAAAATAGATCTAGAGATGTAGAAATGAAGAACAATTGACAGTAACCAGAGGGGATGGAAGAGGGGGAGAAAGGGAGAAAGAAGGGAAAGGATCAAGTCAGAGAACAAGTATAAAGGACCTATGGACAAAGGCAATAGGCTGGATGGGGTGGGAGGGGAGGATTGAATGTGTGAGGTGGGGGTGGTTAGGGCAGGGCAGAGTAATGGGGGAAAAATGGGGACAACTGTAACTGAACAACAATTTAAAAATACAGAAAAAAAATAAGAAAGTGTAACGGGGCACAGCCAGGGCCCCCCCAGAGGGTATTTGTAACGGGGTCCAGAGATTGGGGTGTCCAAGAAAAATATATTCTCCCCACCCCAGGGTAGGCCACCATGGGGGATGGGAGCCTTGAGCAGGGCCATTGAGAGTCATTTTGCATGTCAATAACAGGATAGCTTCGTTCCTCAGATGCAAAGAGGGTCATTTTGCATATCACCAAAGCTAATCAGGAAGGCTAAAAAAGACTATACAGAATGTAACTGAGAGAGAAAGAGGAGAGGCAGGGGCCTGCAGGAAAAACAAGAGGACAGACTCTGGGGAAGAGTGTGAAGACCACTCTGAAAGAAAGAGGGGAGAAAGGACTCTTGCTAGTGGGCCATGAGAAGGTGCCCTGTGGTTATGGATTAAGAGCTGGAGATAGTGGCGACGCAGTGGATGGTGCTGAGACCCATGAGAGGCCTGCCTAACTGAGCCCCAGACTTCTGTTCTTTTTCTTCTTAAGGATGGTACCCCTGACTGGCCTGACTGGCCTAACTGGGCAAAGGGGGGTAGGCAGGATGGTGTGTGTGGCTGGTGGTTGCTTTGAAGAGATTTTGAGGTTTAAGGGTGATGTTTAGCCATTAATCAAACCTGTAAAACTTTTGAATAAATAGTTCCTTTCCTTTTCACCAGACTCTGCCATTTAGAGCCATAATTCCAAGGGCAGCGGGCAAAGGACCCACAACTGAGGGGTCCCGGGGAAGGAGGGTGTTGTTTCGGTAATAGCATCCGGGTGCCCCCCAAAGGGTCCTTTTGTTCGGTAACAAAAGTAGAAGTTGCAACCCTAAAATCAAAATAAATATTAAACCAAAGCAACATTCCACAATGAAGATATGAGTCAATCCTCTGCTCCATCCAGCCTGCTTTTGATTCCTTCCAGTGTGTTCTTCAATTCTGAAATTGTATTCTTCATTTCTTTTGGCTGTTATTGATAGTTTCTATGTCTTTTTTCTAGCTGATATAGTTTGCAATAAGTTCCTCATAGTTTTTCTGCAGTTTTTAGTAATTCTCTTTGAGCTCACAGTGTTGCAGGAAAACAGACTCAGACACGGTTCAGGGAACGGAGTAAGCCTTTATTCACGCGCTGGGGCTCAGAGGAGGTAGTCTCCAAATTCTGAGCCCCAAACTGGGGTTAGGCCGGTATTTATAAGCCTTAGCGTTGGACGGGAAAAGGATCGGAATGCAGAAGTAGATTGTAATGGTCAGCCCTTTGTCTGGGGGTTTATTGCCGCTGACAGAGGTTCCTGGGCTAAGCAAATTTACAGAAACAAGAGTAGAGCTGGTTAATAGCATCAGGCTTTCTGGTTTTTGGTTTTTCTTCCCCCCACAACAGAGCTTACTGAGTTTCCTTAGAAACATTGTTAGAATTCAATATCTGATAGTTTACTTGCCTCTGTTTCATTTAGTTCTTTTTCTGGGGATTCCTCCTCTCCCTTCTATTGGAGGGTATTTCTTTGTTTTCCCATTATTTGTGAGACTCTTCTTTTTCGCTTCTGCTTCTTAAATTGATCTGTCTTGATTTCCTGACTTTGTGGTATGAATTTCTAGAATAGGAGGCCACTTTTTTTGTTCTTTCTTTCTGGATCTGCTTCTGATGATGTCAGCTGTGACCCCATCTGACCTTAGACAGTCTTTAAAGGACTTCCAGGAATCTACTGCCTGTGTCCCTCTCTTCTAGTTGTTAATCTAATCACTCTGTCCTCAGCAGTCCAGTTAGGGCAGAGTCCCTCCTGCCAGCAGAGCTCTTGTGTCTTTTCATACTGCTACCACGCAGAGGAGTAGTCTGCCTGAGTATTAAGGCTGCTCCCATAGCAGGGAGGAGTCAGCACTGGGGTCCCCGACTACTCCCTCAGTTCTCTTCTCAATGCTTCCTTCGCCAGACTTCTCTCAAGCGTCTCTAGACCACTCTGCATCCTCTGTAGCCAGGAATCTACTATCTGTCACTGCTGCTCTGTACTCAGCAGTCGCGCTTGCCCAACACTGGGCTGGGCCGAACCACCTGGGGGCAGGACTATTGTGTTATATCATGCTACTGCCGGGCTGGCTGGGAGCAGTCTGCCTGAGCAAGATGACAGCTGCGGAATGGGGGGTGAGTCAGCACCAGGACTCCACCATCCACTTTCTCAGTTCTTTCCCCAAAGCCTCCCTCTCCAGTCTCTCTTCAGGTGGTTCCAGCCCACTTTCCACCACCTCTGCCAGAGCCCAGGGTAATTGGCTGCCACTACAAATTTTGCATTGGCCCTTTAAATGGCTCTTTGTGTCTCCAGCTGCTTGTCTCTGGCATAGAGCACCCTGCCGCTTTTCACAGCTGGCTGCTATCTGTCTGCTTTTTGGGCTCTGATATTGTAGGCTAGAGATCCCTGTATATGGTTTAGACCATACTCTTCTTAGGGAGATGCAGCTGGTCATTTCAGTATCCCTCTGGTCCTGGTGCCTGTGGGTGCCCCAACTGCCTTCTCAAGCCTCTACTGCACTCCTTACCAGTTATGTTGTGCCAAAGCCGATTCCTCTGTTTGAGGTTTTAAGGCTCCTCTCTCACAATTGTTCAGTTTTTTTCCAAGTGACTTCTCCAAAATTTAGTTGTAATTCCAGATTGGTCCTGGGAAGAAGTCAATGTGACTTCCACTCACACCTCTGCCATCTTGAAGAGTCTATTATTACTATTTTTTACTATTATTTTCTTTCCCATCACTTCATCACTCACCACAGGTTATGAGTCAAAATGAGCAATTTTTTAAATTACTTATTTAGTTATTTTCTTAAATTTATTGGCATGACATGAGTTAATAAGATTATAGAGGTTTCAAGAGTATATTTCTATGTTACATGATCTCTATAGTGCATTGTGTGCCCACCACTTGAAGTCAAATGATCTTCCATCACTTTTGGCAGAAATAACACCTTTTTCAGTGTGGTTCATAAGGTAATAATATGGGTGTAATAATTTTTAGTTGAACATTTCACCTAAAATGTCATATGGTGTGCTTGAGTGTGATATTGTTATGTTACAGATTCACATACTTATGATTTTGTAATAAAAAAGGGTGTTATTTGTGCTAGACCCTGTATTTGGCCTCCTTTACCCTTTACTATACCACCACCCTCCTTCCCTCTGGTTGTCTATGTGTATGAGTTTCATATAAGTGAAATCACATGGTCCTCGGCTTTTTCCTGACTGACTTATATCACTTAGCATGATATTCTTATGGTTCATCCACACTTTTGCAAATGTCAATATTTCATTTTTTCTTGTGGCTGAGTAGTATGAAATTGTATATATGTACCACTACTTCTTTATCCAATCATCTATTGAAGGACAGTAGTTTTTTCCATGTCTTGGCCACTGTGAATAATTCTGCAGTGAACATAGGGGTGCATATTTCTTTGCAAATAAATTTTTCAAACTTTGGGGAAAGATAACCCAGAAGAGGGGGACCTGGGACATATGCTAATTCTATTCAT